ACCAACTTTGGTTGGTTTATTTAAAACAACAAAGTAAGACAAAATTATCTAAAAATAAGTGCAATGATTTAAACTTGAGTATATTTTTATAATTTTTATATAATTTCCTCTAATAATAGTTAAACAAGTAGGTCAATCTTTTTTATTCAATATGTTGTGGAAAAGTAAAATCTTTTTATATAAAAATATAATTTATCCTCTTCTAATAAATTGTCATATCTTCGTATTGGTGGTGAAAAGAGCTATTAAGCCACATTTTTAGGCCAAATGAGTTAATTATATCACATAAATAAAACAATTCTGAAAAATACAGTGGTGAAGAGAGATAAGCCATTATATAATTATAACCTTAAAATCTCACAAACTGAAAGAAGCTAGGTGAAAATACATATATATTTTTTAGTGGTAAAGTATTTTTAAGCAACATACCTTTCTTTTTTTTTATTTTTAAATCAGTCTTAAAATGAAGGACATGTTTTCGTTTGTACCAAATGATATCATATTTAGTGGATAAAATCTTAAGATTTTAACCTAAGAGTTACAAACTTATTTACCCATTTTCTCCAATTAATAAGTGTGTGGCTTAGCTCTTTTCACCACCAATGTGACGATATATTTGTTACATTATAGCATAAATAAAAATATTTCCAAGCCACATGTAATTGCAATAAAATAATTTTTGTTTACCTTTGCATAAATAATAAACTAACAAAATAAAAATATATACATATCTATACAAAAAAGTTAAAAGGCTTGATTTAAAAAAGATGATATATATCTGCGTCTACAGGTAAGAAATTAGGGAACTCAGCTATCTCGTATAATATATACCTAGTCATTGTTGCAATCATCTATTATTCACCGATCTAGTTTTAGCATCATACAATTGCCATCTTGAAACGTACCTTATATAAATATACTTTTTTACAATCGTTCACTGTTTAAACTTCTAGTGAACCTTTGCAATATTGATACCTTATTAAGCTAAGTTTGTCCAATCATTCAGTGCTTTATAGGTGGCTTCTACTTGTTTAACTGCGTTTGTGATATACTTACCTCTACTTTTGTGATATTTCTACTTGATTTCAACATTTTAATAATACATTTATATATTTTGTTTTATTTAAAATTTCCATGTCTCGATTGAGATTTTACTTTAATCTCAATTTTAGCCTCTCTCTATTACATTACACAAAGAACAATATAGTGTGTTCACGGATGGACTTTTACTTGTAAAAATATTTATTTTAAATTAAAAAAGTTATTTTTCATAATTTGTCAATGTGATTCGAATTTATTTAACAAGTAAAAGAAATTATGAAGAATTATTTTTTTAATTTAAAATAAATATTATAGTATAGTTAAGTCCATCTATAGAAAGTTTCAGAGCAACTTTCAGGGTAAGTATCGTAAAAGTGCTAGTATGATGTTTTCCGAACTTCACTTTGTAACCTCTGTGAGATGTGCTATAAAAGTCTTGTCATTGCGGACATTCGGCGGTTGCAGGGATATTAGGGTTACATTAAAAGTAAATAGGATGCGAGTTTAAAATTGCAGCTTATTAACGTAGATGGGATGTGCTAGCTGGGTAAAATCATACGTTCCAGTTCAAAATCAGGCGCTCCGCTGAAACCATCCGCATTGTCGTCGATGTCCGGTGCCGGTTGATGTCCATAAAATGGCATGCAATCGTTCGGAATTAAGTGCATCACAGATTTTTTGTTCTCTATCTGTGGATTATATACTTATTTCCTTCAAGTCACAATGGTATTAGCTAGTCTTTAAATAATGTGATCGCTATTTCAGCATCCGTGTTGTCTTCACAATTTGTTTTTCAGGAAAATTGAAAATGTTTTTTTTATCAAAAAGTATCTTAAGTGTTTTTAAACGCTTATTTATTATCAACATCCATTTTTCTAGTTATTATTTTATTACAGGATTTACCTGACCAAAGCTCGGGCTTTCCTTCTCCTATCCAATAACTTTTGTCATTAGAAGAATTCTTTGAGATATGTTAATATTATCATTCATATTGTATCACAAAAATATTCGTTTTCCTATTTTTAATACTTCATATTCACTCTCACAGAGAACCAAATAACAAACTGTCACCATCTCTCTTCTATATTATGAAGAAAACAACCAAGCCGCTTGGATTGGTAATGCAGGCAGGTTACTTACTTAACGAATTTAATCGGTTTGTTCATTGGCTATCAAATAACGCTATGTACCAGAATGTGGCTTGGATCTTTTTTGCAATAAAGGTTATACGGTTCTTAATGCTATATTATGCGAAAGTCTAAGAATCACAATTTTTTGGGTTACTTCCTTTCTACAGAAAGCCGTCCAATTAGACATCAAGAAGGATAAACGGTCCTCATATATGCAACCAAGAATACATGTTTTAATAACATTGACTATTTGCGATTCAAGCTAAGTGATACGCCCTCTGGAGGAAATTTGTAGAAGGTTCGTATAAGTAGGATATCGTTCAGTGTTGCCAGAAGTAGCAAATCTTCGCTACGTCGTCGGATTTTAGCTTTTGAAGAAGTGAATAAGACCTTTTATTTAAAAATCAAAATTTGTGTGTGGTAATATGTAATCATACTCTATATTTATTTAAGGATTTTTTTATAAAACCAATTTATTATATTGATTTATTTAAAATTTCAGTTCATTTATTAATTTTGTTTTAAAATCAGTTGATCATTTGGCAACATTGGCGTTCGTGTTCATTGTTTACATTTTAATTTGTATCAATTACAATTCGAGTTTTTTCTTACTTTTTAGCTTTAAATTTGTTTATTTCTTATAGTATGTGATAGTATTTATATTAACAATGAAATCTGCGAAAACGTCCCCAGAAAATTGCAATCTATATGGTGTTAATGTCAAAATCAAAACTGAAGTACCTATTCAATATTTTCCAAGTGCAAGTCGTAAAATTTTGTTTTTTACGATAAATTAATATCTACAAATTCACAATATTAAAATTTTACAAAACTTTGTTTAGAATCAAACTGTAATCTGATTTGTGACGGTTTTATTACCATTTACATGTATACAAAGTACTACAGGATTCACTTCATAATATAAGAATAAGTCTAGTAAGATTTTTAAATAAGTTCATCAATAATAAACGTGTGGTACCTGAAATGTCCTTTAAATCACATAATAAAACATGTCCTGGGTTTAGTGAATACATATTTCTAGATGTTCTTGTAGCAACCAATAGGTGAATATTTCCAACAAATAAGTCATACACATGATAAATATTATATTTATGACGAAAGCACGAGACTTAAACTTAAATTAACACTAAATGAAACTCAAAACACTATTACAATGAGAATATTATCTAAAAACAGTTAAAACAATCACAAATACAAAATCCGCCCAAAACAAAAACATGTAAATAAACAAACATCCTACTTATAAGTGACAAATGACAGGCGCGCGAAAATTAATTTGAATCGCGAATTACTAGGCCGACCTTGTTACAGCTATCGGAAAGACGGCAACAGTGTGTCTGCCATTAGAAATACATTGCCTATGCCTGGCCATACTGCATTCTCAGTGTGTCTGGAACTATAGATTATCCTTTACGAATGAATTTTGCTCAATTATCTAGAGGAATTGCCAATTAAGGTAGTTCGCTCGTAAAACTGCTCTTCTTAAGGATTCAATAAAATTGAAATATAAGGATAATGAAAGTGTATTTTACGTACCTTACTAAAAAAAAAAAATTTTGACCGTCTGTGAAACGAGATATTAACAATGAAATTGTGCATAATTAACAGTCTTGAAGCCTGTCATGTACAAAATGCATTTATTTCAAGAAATATCGAAAACGGTTCTCACTATATTTTTAAAAAACTAATGTAATGTAAATCAAGAAGTTATATAATATTTGTAAAAAGAAATAAAAATATTTTTAAAGAAGTCGACGAGTAGTTGCGTACAATGATTACAACTTGGCAACATTGTAATCGCTACACTTTACGGGCGGTAACTGAATTACACACTCGGTCAGCTAATAGGTTATTATAACCTCGCGACGTGTTCTTGAAAAATTAATTCGTCCACTGTATTTGAGAATTGGAATTGACGTTTGTTTAAACCAAAACAAACCCTTAAAATCAGTATGAGGAAGTCACACATTTCTATAGTCCACCATTCATATATTTGCGACGTAGCCGGATGGATTTTACTTGAAATTATAACGTATACGTAAAAATAAACTTACATATGTTTTGGTATTCACCTTTAGACGATATTTTTATGTACGACTGTCGCGAGTGAACTACCTTAATAGAATAAGAGACCTGTGGTTCATGCAGGATGGAGCACCCCCTCATTTATTATCCTTTAATAGTGCGAAACTGTCCCGATCATCAATTTCCTCATCGTTGGATTGACAGAGGTAGTGAATTTCCGAAATCCCGATTGTAATCTCTTAGATTTCTATTTTTGGGGGCATTGTTGCCAATCAGCTATACATATTTTTAAAGTCAGATCGTTTAGTGAAATAATGGATAAACTTATTGAACATTTCTTATAAAAGGTTTTTAATCTTTGTTCATGTCCTTCTGGATATTTTCTTATAAAAATTGTTCCTATATTTAGATTATAACATTTTCAGAACCATAATTTGTTTTTTGTTTAATGCATTTAGTTCTTTTTAAGAAATTTTGATAAATAAATTGTTTTTTTGTTAATACGGATTAAAACGCCGACATAATACACACGAAAATCAAAATAATTGTGCAGCTTCATGTTTAACTTAAAATATCTCGAAAAATAATGACTTTATCACTATAAAGAAAGAGTTTACAATATTTAAGTAAAAAGTATTGAAAAATAAAATTGCAATTCCGCCCGTGGCATTGAATTTGGGAAGGATGAACCAGTCATTTGCATTTAACATAATTTAGTAGTGTATAGTACCTACACCTCCCGCCAAATATGACAATATACGTCAAATAGTTTTAAACTACTGGGCACAAATAATTTTTATGTAACTCAGACAGGAGGCACATTTTATCTAGGTGATTTGGGTAACTGAATATATCATGGATACATCAAAGAGAAACTGGTAAAGCTAAGCCATTGCTCTATTTTGATGACTGAATATCACGAGGTACAATTCACATTATGTTATGTTAATAGAGAAACTATCACAAACTTATCGGAAACTTTATTACAATAAAATAAACTTTAAAATCTATAGACGCGTTAAAACTAACAATTTTATTCTTTAACTATACCGCTCGCATCCACCATGTCAACTTCTATACTCATGCTCATATCCGACATCTGGTTATTTACACTGGGAATCACAGAACTCGTATCTTCGGCTATGCTTTCGGTTGCGGTACAATCGGCCGCTTTTGGCTCTATACTGAATTTGGGTATTTCATCAGGGCAGTCTGAAATAAAAACCGATTTTCTAAATTACCTTTGAACTTTATTCAGTGCCAGTGAAAAAAAGCGGCACAAAAATTGGAATTTTTATTTATGTATAGGGCAAAGAGTAGAAATAAGTAAAGGGATTCTATAGGTGATTTAAGTAGTATGTTCTTATCATGTGATTCTATGTCAAAATAAAATTATTTAATATTAATTACACCGACACACAAAAAAAAAGTTGTTTGTACATCAGACACGACCTACCTACCGGCATGTATTTTGACCCGCTGAATCCGAATTTCAAGTCAGTTTGGGCCGTCCACCCTTCAACATCGAGTAAATTGTAAAAATAGTAAAAATAAGATATTTAGTAATAAAAAAAAATTATGAATCGAAACCAAGCATAATTCTTATGTATTTCGATCCGCTGAATACTGCGGAGGTCATTTGAGAACAAAAAAGTTTGATACCAACAAAAAACAGTTCAAAATCTGAGAAAATCTTTCGCCTCATTCAGTTCATACATCAGTTTTTAGAGATATTGCAAGGGTGGATATTGAAGGGTCCAAGGGGCCCAAACTGACTTGAAATTCGGATTCAGCGGATCAAAATACATGCCGGTAGGTAGGTCGTGTCTGATGTACAAACAACTTTTTTTTTTGTGTGCCGGTGTTATTTAACTTTCTTGTGGATATTTTCTAATACATCATTTATATACGGATCATATTGACAACAGCATGCACACTTACGTTTAAAGGTCCGACGTCAAAGCTTTATTTTTATGACATGAATGTAGTCTCTCACCTTGATAATCTTGCACAGGGTGTATGAAAAGCGCGAGAAATAGTACATACGTCAGAAAATCTTAATGTTGAACTGGTTGTGGAAAGTTCGTAAGAATTGCCGTTTTGATAACATACAGCAATAACGAGGGGTGTTTGGCTTCATTGCTATTGAAAGCTAATGTCTATGCAACAGCATCCCCGCCACCTCTTAACGACACAGCACAATTCCTGCGATTTTGATTTTTTATCTTTATTCTGTCTGATTCTGTACTAGCAACTCTATTATAAAAAGTGAACTAACCACAACATTTTCCAATGGGGACGTTTAATGAAATTTGTTGTTAGTAAGGAGCTGGGAGCGGGACATGAATAGTTTTCTAGGGTATTTTTGACTGTCACTAATCGGAATAAACGAATGCTGAAAAGGTAGTTTGGAATTAAAAGAGTAAATGGAGCTTAACTAAACGACTGCAGCTATTAGAGACGGTTATGTTACAGCAGCAAAAAAAAAAACTCAAAATGTGTCATTGTTTTACCGACAGTAGACTGAAAATAAAATCACTTTCAAATCCAAATATTTAAAATGTCAAGGTCAACTGTATAACCACAAATTCTGTTTATAAATTTAAAAAAATATAAAAAAAAAACAAATTGATTTTAAAATACGACGTTCAAGGCCATTTACGGGAAGTATTTTTGTGGCGACATCACACCGCGAAAGTAGAGCTTGCTTAACCCTTTGTCGTCTGGCGGTACTCAAAAGTACCACAATTTCAAATATCAATGAAATGTAATGTAGTCGTTTAGAAGCATCATTGCCTGTCGGTATATTAAAGTACCAATAACCTTTCGCTGTGAAAACAGATTATTTGTAGATGTCGCTAAGGTAGTCAAGATATTTAGATTATTTGCGAACCTGCACAGTGTGAATTGTACCTTCGAGAGCTTAGCGTGTGTGTATTTTATTCCAGCAAAGATTGTGTTGAGGTAAGCGATTTTTTTGTTTAGATTGAATCTGTGTATGTTTCTCAATTAGTTTAGATAACAAATACGGCCCTAAAATAAATTATTGCTTAGAAATCAGGAATTAAATGTTTGGAACTTATAAGTACCGACATCGACAGGGTGTTACAGCATAAAATGGTAAAATATTATTTGACTAATTGTTTACGGATTTTATGCAATGGTAAGTTATTTTTTTTTGTTTTCAGACAAAAATGGCTCGTAATTACGGGAATAAATATTTGACAGACACGGAACTTTTAATAGAGGCGGATAGAGCATTAGTTGAAATCGAACAGTACTGTAATATTGATTTAGATAATAACTTTTAAACAGATGAAGAGGACGATGATATCGAGAATAATGGTTCGCTTATGGTTGAAAACGACGAAGCTGAAATAATAATGAGAATGGAGACAGGAGTTGCGGAAAATATAAATGCAGAAAACCAAGACGAAATTATTGAAAATGAAGAGGGGATAGAAGATAATACTGAAATGAAAAACAGCGACAGTAAAAAAGCAAGAACATCTAAAAAAAAGAAAGAGACTCAAGAAGAGATTAACAGAAAATGGAAGAAAAGAGAAGTAGAAACACAAGTACCTGAATATAATGATGATACAGGACCGGTCTTTGATCATTTTGCAGAATGCCAAACGGCAACAGATTATTTTTTAAAATTTATTGAGCCTCTTATTGACAACATTATATTTCAAAGTAATCTCTATGCTGTTCAGCGAAATAAAGTTTTAAATGTCCAAAGAGAAGAACTGTTATCGTTTCTTGGTATAAATATGCTTATGGGGTATCACGTTTTACCTTCTTGGAGGCACTACTGGTCAACAGCTTCAGACTTAGGCATTCCCTTAGTATCCAGTACCATGAGTAGATTGAGGTTTGATACCATATTATCTAATCTTCACATCAATGATAATTTACAGATTCCTCATCACAATACTGACAAATTGTACAAACTAAAACCAATGATTGAAACACTCAATTCAGTATTCAACTCTTACTACAAAGGAACAAGAGCATTGAGTGTTGATGAATCAATGATTGCCTTCAAAGGCAGAAGTTCTATCAAACAATATAATCCAAAAAAGCCCATCAAGAGAGGATACAAGCTATGGACAATAGCAGACCAGAAGGGTTATATTTTACAATTTGATGTATATACAGGAAAAACAGGAGATGAAATGGAAAAATCTGAAATGCCATTAGGAGAAAAAGTTGTTTTGAAACTTACCAAAAACTATGTTGGTAAAAACAGGATGGTGTTTTTTGATAATTATTTTTCTTCTGTCCAATTAGTGGAAAAATTAAAAGCTGAAAAAACACTTGCGTGCGGTACAATTAGAAATAATAGAAGGGGTCTTCCAAAAAATTTAATCATAGACAAGAAGATGAAAAAAGGGGACTATGATTATCGATTTACTTCATCGGACATTGGGTTTTTCAAGTGGCAGGACAATAAAACAGTGACTTTAATTTCAAACTATCACGGTAGCGAAACAACCACCGTAAAACGAAAACAGAAGGACGGTACTTCACTAGAAATACCTTGTCCAACTGCTGTAAAAGATTATAATACATTTATGGGCGGAGTTGATCACGCTCGGCTGATCAACTTAGAAATGCATATGGATTGAATCGAAGGTCAAAGAAGTGGTGGCATAAATTGTTCTGGGGAATGTTAGATATATGTTTTGTAAATGCTTTTGTGATCTACTGCTCCAATCATGAAAGAATTCCTTTATTAGAATTTCGCCGTTCTGTTGCTTCAGGTTTGATGACACAAAAAGTCTTCCAATCAGTCGGGAGAAAACGACCTTTATCAGATCCATCATTAACACTCACTAAAAGAAGGAAGACCAACTTTTCCGTTTCAGCTGATATCCGTCTTACCAACAGGGGTGTCCATTGGCCAATATATGTTGAATCAAGGGGAAGGTGTGAAGTATGTGCTAAGCAACAAATTCAGTCCAGACCACACTCCAAATGTAAAACTTGCAATGTTTTCTTATGTAGTAATGAAAAAAAAAAATTGTTTTATTCAGTTTCATGAAATATTTATTTAGTTTTTACTATATATTTTTTTTTTGACAATTATAAATAGTACCTAACTTCCTGACGGTACCCAAAAGTACCACCTACCAAAACACAAAAAATACATTTTGAAAAATTTTTAAAAAAATCACATAGCCTATTTTACTCCAAATTTACAAGGAAACCCCTTTAATAGCTTGCTAAAACTTTTTTTCTTCTGATGGCCAACAAAGGGTTAAAATGTCAACTGTCAAATATAATAGGGCGTTTGCAGTGGTGCTGCTACCAGCAAATAGCTTTCACTAAATCTTGCCATTAGTAGAAATACAAATAGATACAGAAGTACTAAAATAATAAACTTACTTGGATAAGGCGGTTCTTCCTCCGTCAATTGCTCTATAACGTAATTTAGCATGGTAGTGCTAAAAGCGTCGTCTCGTTTTAAACCTAGAGCTTTGTGAAACCATTCCACAGCTTCTTCGTAATTTTCCATTAAAACATAAACGTATGCTATGGATGAATATATACTAGCTGATTGAGGAGTCAGTAAGAGAGCCTAAAACGAAAAATGTATTGTTATCAAACCGATGTATTAAACATATACAGGGTGTTATTGAAATACTTGTAAATATTAAAAGTGAAACGAAACGAATGGCACCTATTTTAGTATTAAATACTACCATTATTCCACGCTTGTTTTTTAAACCAAATCAAATGGCCAGACAACTACTCGGTGGTGGTACTAAATCGCATGTGCGGCATACTCGGTGTCGCCACGGAATGGCGACCACGGATAGTTCTTGTGGTAGGCTCGTGAAGAAAAACTAGCTACACCGGAGAACTACTTCTAGTCTATGGAGTTTACTACAAAATACCTAATTAGACAAGGTATAAACAAAGTATAAAGAATATCCACAATAGACCTTAAAAGGTCGAGGTGGGGGAGGCCACATGCCCACAGTACTAAATAAATCTAATCTAAATGGTAGGCACATGTTGGAAGGTAATTAAAATTTTTGTTTTATTAACAAAAATTTTCTTATCTGGATTCAGATAAGGAAGTACTTCTTCTAACGCTTCTAATAAGACAATATGAAAAATTATTTTTTGGGCCGTCCATAACTTTAAAATTTTTAAAGAAAATTCCACAATTTCTTTCTACGTCTTTCTTTTTAAATCTCTATTGCTAGAATCTCTCGAACTGCTTTTTAAAACTACAAAACGTTTTATTCCTATGATGAATCGATTTGCATCGAATACCATATTGTTCAATACTGTACCCCGTCAATCAAAATAAAAATATTCTTTATGTCAATGTTTGTAAAAGCCAACGATACAAGTGGTCCGTGTGGACGATTCCAGCGACTGAGTGTCGCCACAGACATTACCCAAATTTTAACATTGAATTGAATACAAGGCCTTTACCCGTGGTACGTCTGGACGGGCTTTTGAAATGAAGCCAGGATTCTATCGGATTTCCACAGCTAATTTGTTTATTTTTGTCAGTTAACTGTTCAATTATATGTAACGGTTCTGTAGTTAGAAACATACGGCAGACAATCAGGAAACCATAAATAATGGGTGCTATGATTGAACGTTTACGTTATCCGTAACGTACATGTTAGGCCGAGTTTTAACAGTAAAGAGACAAATTCGTATGATGTAAAGTCTTTCATAACACATTACTGTTATTTTCCGCCTGTTATGTTCTAATTTAACAGGTTTCCATCATACGAACTTGCCTCGTTACTTTTAAAATTCGGCCTAACATGTACGTTACGGATAACGTAAACGTTCAATCATAGGACCCATTGTGTGCTTATCGAGCATTTTCTCCTGCAGCACCAAACACTAAAACCATATGTGTCAGTTCAAAGTTTGTAAAACATATTTTTAAAGATGACCAAAGAAGCACACGAAAATTTAGCATCAATATCAAGTGAACCAATGTACGCAAGACAAATCCAGTCTAAACTGAACATGTGGGTTATATTTGATAAATAACTCTCAGAGTACATCTCACTCCTTCGCCGTTCGATTATTATCAAGTAAACTAATTTAGGTTCGTTAAGAGTTCGAAAAACCAATTTTTAGTTAATCGAGTTAACTATCCATAACCCAACAAAGTAAAAAGATTTTACTTGTCTTACGCAGTGATATTCTATTCCAAAAAAGGAACATGGAACCCGAACACCGATAGCAAAAATTAACAGTGAGATTCTGCGAGTATTTTGTTGAATTAACTTTATTTTTATTTATTAAAAATATTGAGATATATTGCAAGTCGCTATTAGAGCAGCTCTTATTTTGACATCTGAGGATGCGCAGATCGTTTACGTTCTAGAACTGACTTTATTAAAGATTGTGCCTGTCCTTAATTGTGGATGTTGGACAAAGATAGTGGCAACTTTAAAGCTTTCGGGTGCGCTCGCCAACATTCGTATCAGTTCGAAGTTTTTTAATATTAAATATTCAATATCATCGTTATCTAAACCTTCTAAAATGGTAATTAATATTGCCTCTTCTATATTATGAACTAGTATAGACAACAAAAAAGATGAACTGTAATTTAAAATTTCATAAATGAGGTTAGAAAGCACAAGGAGTCTGATGTCAAAACTGTATGCTTGCAATAAGTCTTATTTTAGCATGGAATGTATTTAACTCTAATTACATTATCACTATTAGTGGCTGAGGTTATAGAAATTTGCAATGTCTCTCTAATATTATAATGCATCAACCTACAGGAGAGACTTTAATCACTGACAGAAGTATAATAATAAATATATTTTATTTCAAGAAAATTACAATATATACATATACTTGTACATAGTGTAAAATTAGTGGAACAATCGTCATCCAAAAAAAGATTATATTACAGCCATCCGACATTTACATTTGGCATTTTATAGTCATTAACAGAGCATGGCTTGATTGTTACTAAAATTTTAATCCCTTCACTTCAGAAGGCAATTTATTATAAAATCTTAAGATATTATAATTTACACTTTTCAGTTTCAGTTAGCGTTAATATATGTATAGAGTACTTGTAGCAGAGATTTCTTGTGGTAATTTATTCTGGGGTTCAAATATTTTAAATTTATTTCTATTCTTAAAGAAGTATAACAAGCACTCCTGTATAAATATTCCGTAAAAGGTGAGTAAATTAAATCTCCTAAACTGTCCTTTACAAGATTAATTAAATGGTAGGTCTGCAACGATTGTTAATACTCTTTTTTGAGTTACGAACACTTGATTTAAGTCTCTATTGTACCCTTAAAATATACCATATCTAATATGGGACTCAATAGTAGAATGGTATACTATTTTCATCGTTTTTCTTTTTAAGTAATTTGATAATACTCTTAATTTATAATATTCAGAGTTCAGTTTTGTTATTACTGAAATGACATGGACGTCCCAACATAAGACCATTATTAAGCTGCATTCCAGAAACTTCTCATTTTTCTTTAATATCGTGGTACCCTGTTGTAGATTAATATTATCATGACTCATGTAATTTGTTGTTATAATCATTAAATTAGTCTTATACTCATTTAGTATAAGATTGTTCATTTTAATCCATTGACTTGAATTAACTAATACCTTATTAACAGTTTCAATCATTTCAGGAAAGCTGTTGGTTTTCATTAAAAAATTTGTGTCATCTACATAACTCACAGTCCTGCAAATGCTATGAGTAATTTTAGGATCATTTTATAATCTACCACAATGCATAATCTTGATATATGCTAATCAGTGGTCCTATTTCTCTTAACAATACCTCAAAGCTTTCCAAAAACATTCTAAAATGACTTTGAAACAGATGAATTAAATGTGGAAACTACTGTTAATCCAAAATGGATTCATAATTCTCGGATTCGTTCTCTTCTTCTTGATCCTACATGTAAATACAACCAGAAAAGATAGTCATAAATTATTTTTACTGTCCTTCCAGGCACAATCTTAATAGAAGCCTATCTAACCATTCTGCAACATCCTGGAAAGACGTCGACGTTTATCGTCGGGGGGACCTTAATGCTACTTACTCGCCCACGGATCTTAACAAAATCCCTGACTTTCTAGAATTATTTATTTCAAGAAAAATGTCTCCTAACTTTATTGAAGTTGAAGAAAATTTTGATTTAGATTCTGATCATTCAGCTGTAATTCTGACATTGAGTGAAAGTTATTAAAAGAGCAACCCGACCTATTCTTACCAACAAAACTACTGACTGGGAAAGCTTCAGAAATGAACTTCAAAACAAGATCAATCTGAATATGTTTGAAACAAACTGAACAACTTGATGAGGAAGCTGAAATCTTTACCATAATTGTTCAAATAGATGCTTATAATAACAGCAAAGAAATTACTCATTTGACAAAGGGAATAAACTACCCAGTCGAGATCAGAGAATTTATTACAGAAAAAAAGAAGAGCAAGAAGAAGATGGCAACAATTTAGAGATCCATCTGATAAATCCATTTTAAACAATGAAACTGAAAAAAGGAATTTAAAAGGAAGAATAAACAAACTGATACCTACATACAGCATCTCTCACTAGATGAAGACACAGATTACTCTCTGTGGAAAACCACAAGAAAAATTAAAAGATCTATTAGCTTCATCCCTCCCATTAGAAGAGATAATGGAGTACGAGCCAAGGACAATAAACATAAAGCAGATTTGTTTGCTGAACATTTGTCAGACATTTTTACACCAAATCGTATGCATAATAGACAATCAAAAATTCTAAAGGATTAACCTTGTTATACCGAAAGAAGTAGCAGAAGAGATTAAAACTAACCTTAATCCGAAGAAAGCACCAGGCTTCGATTTAATTACTGGTGAAATCTTGAAGCAATTGTATAGAAAAGGTATTGTCATGCTGACATACTTGTTTAATGCAGCTTATAGAATAAAACATGTTCCTGCAAGCTGGAAAGTTGTAGTGGTAATAATATTGCCAACGCCACAGGTTAAGATGGCGCTGTCTGAGGACGACGTGGAAAATGTACTCTCTCCTATAAAGGAAGATAACTTTAAAGATAAATATTTTAAATGTTGTCAAACTAAAATTAGTAGAAACCTAGAGTGCGTAAATTGTGGAAACTTGTTTCACCCCTCCTGTGCAGTGAAAAACAAGATAGAATGCATAAAAGTATGTGATTCAAGAATCGTTTGCTGCAACCTAAAAAAATACAATCAATTGAGGAAAAACAAAAGGATCAAACTAATTTGGTAACACATTTCAATTTATTAGAAAGAAAAGGATGAAAAATAACGATGTTTTGGAAGAAAATAATAATTTACTAAGACAAACTAACAATCTACTAGAAGAAAAACTCAACAACAACAAAAAAGTGAACAAAGCAAAAACTTATTTCTTAATTTGGTAGATACAGGATTTTCTACTTTTAGCCAAGTGACAAAAAAAACACAACACAAACAACTCTGAATCAAACACCAGAATAAATATCATTGAAGCAGGCAAAGTGTTGCCAGATCTACCAAGTCAGTGCAAGAACTTAGGTACCCTATCGAAAAGACAATGT